AGTTTTATGACTGAACCATGACCTAAGATATGTGCTTGCTGAAGGCCATTGGAACCCTTCTCCCCAATACGTCTCCATCGAAACTGTAACCCAGCTTACACTGTTCTTAGACCATTCTCTGTCTTCTGTAGGTTGACATGTCTTCCTAAGCAATCTTCTCAAAACCAACCATAAACACCTTTTCCATTTTCTTGCTTGTATGTTTCCATAAAGCAAAGCTGTGCCTTGTCATTCCTCGTAAATAGCTAATGGCTTGCATAACATCAGAGATTCATTTTCACTTGATCATTTGTATCTGCCTTCCATTCTTCTGCTTCCAGTGTATAACTTCTTTTTTTCTTTTTTAAATACAAAAAGGCCTTTCAGCTATTTTATATTTTTCTATACACACACTCACCACCAACAGCTATCATTTTCACTTTATAAATGAAAAGTTCAAGTCAGGTAACAGACTGAGGTCTCTAAGTGTTGGTGTTCTCTCGTGCACACTTTCTTTCTCAGAGGAGTTGGCCAAGGAGACCAGGTCCTCATACCCTTAACTCCTAGAACCTGTTAGGAAGGTTTCTGGCACATAAGCAGAGGTGCCAAAGAACCTACACTCAGACCAGAAGCCAAAATCACTTGTGAGAATTTAATGAACTCCCCTCCATGTGGCTTCAAGCTACCAGCACACAGGCCCCACCAACACTCTTAATCTTCTCCTCAGCTCTTCTGCTGAAGAATTTGGCCTTTGCAGTGACAGGCTGCTTTGGGAGCTTTCCCTTCCTCAGAACTTTGTAGTAGCCCAATTGTACCACATCAATGGTGGGAATGGTTCTGGTCTTGTTTTGGGCAGTATTTACCTATCTGCTCACTGACCAACATCCACGGTTGATCAAGGCTGACCGTGGGGCAGAATCCCTGCTCCTCCTTAAGTGGTGATGCCTCATGGCAACTTTCCCAAAGCAACCTGGGAGATATTTGTTGAAGTTGATCCTGTGATGATGCAAGCCACTACCATAGCCTTGGCCTCCCAGGTGTTTCCTGTGCTTGCCGATGCATCTGTGGCCATGGTTCATGTGGCCGCAAAGTTTCCAGGTCTTCCTCAGTCTGGACGGCATATTGATGACCCAGATACAAAACCTATAACTTCTTCTAAGTTATCTGATGAGCTAAGTGTTAACATTAAATTTTTCTGAGTACAGGCAGACTGTTTCCCCAGAATCTGTAACAAACATATGCTGAGGGTTTGCAAAGACTAAAGACAGAGGATAATGTGATAGTGGTGTCCACAGTAAGATATTTCTGCCAAATGGCTCAGGAGGGGACAGTGAATGAGTAATCACAATACAGTATTTGAGGCTTCTCTTCTCAGTAAACCTTTTCTCATGCAGAGGATCTGTGCCCCTGTGTTACTAGTGAGACAGGGTTGTTAGTGTATGAAGGAGCTGTGCTTAATGTGACTGACCCTGTCTTAATTCGTTAGCAGAAATTCAAATACATGACGAGGAGGTAGAAGACCAAGCCTGGGATGCCCCAGGTAACTCTGAAAATCAAGGGTTTCTATTTCACTGGCGACATGTGGAGACTGCATTTCAAGGGAAAAACAGGTGATGCTGAATATACCTGTTTACATATACTCTAAAATCACAAGGAATCCAGTTAAACAATATTGTCTATTTTCACTGTGGATACTGTATAAGTTTCTTTGTATTGATCCCTCACGTTTATTAACCTACAGTCAGTTGAACTAGGTCAACAAATCAGTTGCAAGGATTCCTTCCTTCTCCTGTTTTTTTCCCCTGTTCTCTTCTGTTAAAACCAACATAAGGAGTATGTCTGCCTCTGCCTGCTTGGTGTTACCATGCAGTTGACAAATTACAGCAAGAAAAGGAATTAGAAAAATAGATTCATATCATGTCACAGTATTACAAGAAAGAGGTCTTGAGGACATAGGTCTCTAGGTGTCGATGGTTTTAAAGCCATTGTTTCCTGGATCACTGAATGTAATGTCAAAAAAATTTATGCAATAGTGTTGAATTCACTTTTTTCAGATTCTTCAAGTGTGCTGGGTGAGTCATGACTCCATTCACCACTTTTGTTCAAAATCTAGTTGTGTGGCCAAAGTAAGCAGACAACAACCTGAGCACCTTTGTTCTCTCTCTTTCCCTTTCCCTCCCTACTGCCCTCTCTCTCTCTCTGTTGAAGCAGGTCATTTGTTCTGCAGAATTTTCACATTCTGGTTTTTAATAATTGCATCTTTACAGTGTTTTTAAACTTTTAAAACTGTTCTGTCTCCTGTGTTTCCTCTGATTGTGTGATCTAGGGGCTTGATGAGATGTATTTTGATTTTCTGGCAAGAACATTTAGTGGCGTTGTGAACTCCCTATTGCCTGGTTGTCTCGGTTTTTGTGATTAACGACTGATGTGCGTGTTTAGTTTTTGTCAGTCTGATATATCTTTTATAAAGTTCATTCCAGTCTTTTACTTAGTGGTGTCAGCAAACACTAAAGTCCATCATTGCCTAGGTCCACTTGTCATCAGAAGTTACAAATTGGTGCTATTCAAATTCTATCATTCCTTCTGAATTTGCTAGCTGGAATTCTAATAGGAACTTTTCCCTCATTAACTATTTGCTTATTTGGAGGTAGATTCCTGAGGAAAGGTGAGATAAATACTAAGATTCTTTCCACTTATTCTCTAGTTTTCAAAATAATTAGATAGTTTCCAGAATATTTCAAACATGAACAATTAGGGACCTATATATGTGTTATCATAAAGTGCTGGATTTTAACATATTTGGTACATTCTACCCATTTAAATTTTTGTTCTTTGATATTGAAATATTCCATCTTTGGTGAGTGGAAGCTTCTTTGACTTCTGTTATTTTTTATTTTGAGATACTTGTAGATCCACATACAGTTTCAAGAATGCTTTGCCATTTTCCCTGGTGGTACAACTTACATAAATATAGTACAATATCACAACCAAGAAAAATGACATTGGTACAACCCACCAAACCTATTTAGATTTCACCAGTTTTACTATACCCATTTACCTGTATATGTGTATATGTATTTGGTGCAATGCAATTTTATCACATTGTAGAGCTGTGTAATCATCACCGCAATCAAGATACTGCACAGTTTCATCACCACAGATCCTTTGTGCTAATCTTTTCTAACCATACCATCCACCCTCACCCCACTCCCATCCCTAATCTTTGACCACCACTAGTCTGTTCTCCACTTCTATAATTGTGTCATTTCAAAAATGGAATGGAAAAAACTACATCATATGTAACCTTTTGAGATTGGCTTTATTCACTCAGCATAACTCCCTTGAGATTCATCCAAGCTGTTGAGTGCACCAATAGGCCTTTCCTTTCAGGACTGCCAAGTAGTAGTCCATGGTATGCATATAGCACAGTCGTTTAACCATTAACCTACTGAAAGACATTGGGCTGTTTCTAGGTTTTGGCTATTACAAGCCAAGCTGCTCTGAACAGTTGTGTAGATTTTTATGGGACTGTGCATTGTCAGTCATCTGGGATGAATGCCCAGGATTTCAATTGTTGGGACGTACGATAAGTACATGTTTACTTTCTATAGGGACTTGCCAAACTATTTTCCAGAATGGCTGTACCATTTCACATTTCCACCAGTAATGTATGAATGATCCATTCTTTCTTCTCAACCTTGCCAACATTTTGTGTTATCACTATTTTCTCTCTCAGCCATTGTGACAGGGATGCAGTGAAGTCACATGATCTTAATTTGCATTTTCCTAATGGTGAATGATGTGGACCATGTTTTCATGTGTTTATTTGCCATCTACATATGCTCTTTGGTGAAATGTCAGTTCATGTCTTTGGCCCATTTTATAATTGGAATATTTCAGTTTTTACTGTTGAGGTTCGAGGGGTTTTCCTGTATTGTAGATACAAGTCCTGTGTTGTGTGTGTGCTGTGCCCTTTAGACATAACCCCTGTAGTCTTCAATAGGTTCCTTGCATTCTGGTATGAAAAGGGCTTGCAGTTCATCTGGTTGAATGGAATTTTAAGCTTCTAGAAATAAATATGATGAAAAACTATAGAATCCTTTCTCTTTCTGAAGAAGTTTCCTTCCTGAAAAGGATGGGGCAGACATACAGGAGAGACTTCAGATAAGACCCAGTGAATCCCAGGACTTCCTGTAACTCCTTCATCATTCCAAGCACCTCCTTTATATTCCTTATTCATGAAAGTGTACTGAGTGCTCATATCCCAGTGAGGCGCTGGGAATAAGTGGGAAGTTTCAATTCAGTGTAACATATGCTCATGCTGGGGTTAAGTGAATGAGGCCCTTAACCTGGGGGGGTCAGGGAGGGAGGCTTTCCAGGGGTATGATAACCTGACCCAGGTGGCAGGTTAGGCAGGAGGAGGGGATCAGGACTCAAGATAAGGTAGATGTTTCAGAAGCGTGATTAGAAGACCTCAAAGAGAAGGAAAGCGTGGTACATTCTTGGGGTGGCCTGTCCATCTCGGGAATGCCTAGATGACTCTGGTGTTTAAAACAAAGATACCTTTGTGGAAGATTGAAAAGAATGTAGATTAATCCCCACATGCTGTTTGGTCTTGCCATGGGAAGAGAATAAAGGGGTGGATAGCATTACCACTTGGTTGCTGTCTCTTAGCTTCTGGAAGTTTCTATCCTAGACCTTTTGTAAGCAATTGAAGACATAGCACAGTGAAAGGGGACATCTCTGATTTGGGCAAAGTTCCAAAACACTGTCCCAGTGAGGAGACAAGAATGCCAGGGCCCGGTCTTTCAGGTGGGTGCCCGCGGATGTTCCCAGCCCTCCTGCAGGGGGATGTTCCCGCCTTCTAGGGAGGAGGCGACACACTTAACCTCTCACAACTGTGTGCTCTCTGGGGAGTCTCGCCTGCAGTGGAAACACATTGCACTGTTTATCTTCATCGGGGCTCTAGGGTGTCCCCTGTGTGTGAGGACACATTACATTCTCCTGGAGACAGTGGTGAAATTGTAGCTTTATTAAAAGAAAGGACAGATTTTTCTTTTTATAAGTTTAGAGACACTGACGTTCTTTTCCCCCAGGTGGCCTTGTTACAACAACTAATCTTCAGGTTCAATCTGACTATAAAAGTGAGATTTTGGCACCATTAACATCATGTTGGAATCACTGGTATGAACAAGTGACGGTAATCCTGGAGCCCTCTTCAGGAATTTCCTGTGCAAGACAGAAGGGGCAACAGAAGAGAAATCCCAGGCCCTGTGCCCCCAAAGACAAGGTGCCCTAAGGAATAGATTCACCAGTTTGTTTAATTATTTTTTGATGAACTAATATGAAGAGCTCGTATAAAATCAGCACAGTGAGCAACGTGTAGCCACGGTTGATAAATGAAAACACTGCTCAATTCATTTCAGCAGCCTCAGTTTGGCCTTGGTGGGCAAGCTGCGTAGGGTGGTGGCTCAGGGGGAGTGGAGGGAAGCCAGGTCCCTGGGGTGGTGAGGGCTCAGAATGTGGCGTGGGGCTCTGAGGGGTGAACTTCAGAGCCAGATGTCAGAGCTGCAGTCGCCCCCAGGGTAACGGAGCTCATGGGCCAGGGCTGGGCCCTGGGGCTCCTGCCCAAAGTCCACCAGGAAGTTGGGGTTCAACTTCAGCCCTCCCTTTTCTGTGTCTACATCAAGCTGCAGCATCACGGAGCCTTCCCTGGTGGCAATAGGGAGGAGAGAAGAGGGGGGTTAGTGGGAGGCGTCCCCTTCCCCCAAGATCTTGTGAGTGCAGAAGTGGGCTCCTGAGGAGGGAGCAGGGTCTGTAGGGCAGGGCCAGGCAGGGTGCCCCAGAAGTCTTCAGAAAGCCAAGCGACGCCCCAAGGGAGGAAGACTTGGGGGAGGGCCCAGGCTGTCTGCTTCTCACCTGATGAGGTCAGGGTAAAACTGCTTGTCCCAGGCGCTGTACAGCGACGTGGTGACATAGAGACGCTTCCCGTCTAGGCTAAGCTGGATCATCTGAGGGCCTCCAGCTACCCTTTTCCCCTTGGGAAAACCAGGGGGTCAGTCCCCAGGACGCTGGAGGAGGTCACAGGTGCCACCCAGCCCCCCAGAGCGTGCTCAGGCGCGGCCCTCCCCCCATGCCCACACTGCCGCAGCAGGGGTCTGAGTGTGCCCACGGGCAGGGGAGAGATCCTCACCTTGACCACCAGGGGCTCTGGCTGGGATTTTAGCTCCTGGTCCTCCAGCACTTGCACAGGGCCTCCCTTCACAATGCTGCCCCCCAGGAAGAGCTGGGCGGGAAGGGGCAGAGAATGAAGGGCAACAGTGCAGGGAGAGCTGCTGGCCTCGGTCAGGATCCGTCCCTCCCTCCCGTTCCCAGCGAGGCCAGGGTTCCCCACAGTGCCGGCCTACACCATCCCCAGCCCCCATTTTTGCTTTTCTTGTACCTCCCTTATCAACCCTCACCCTCTTCCATACCCTTCTCCTCATGTGGCCTCTCTTCTTCTTCTCCCCTCCCTTTTCGCCACCCTGCTAGGGCCCCACCTGTCCCGTGAGTCGCGGTCTCTGTGGGTCAGAGATGTCGTACTGCCGCAGGTCCCCGTGCAGCCAGTTGCTGAAGTAGAGGAAGCGGTCATCCAGGGACAGCAGGATGTCAGTGATCAGGCCTGGGGTGGGGGTGCAGTTCAGAGGCTTTAAGGACTCCTGATACCCAGGCCGACATCAACCTTCTGATTCCCTCCCTCCCCTGGGCACCCACCTGGCATTTCGGGCAGCATCCAGCCCTTCACTTTCTTGGGGGGCACCTGGATAACCTTCTCTGCCAACCAAGTGCCTTCCTGATTTGGGATTATGGGGGGAAAGGTGAGCGTGTCAGAGTGGGAGGTGGAGGGCTGACCTGGTTCTCCCCAGGGCTTCCTGCCTATAGAGAGACAGTGGACACAGGGCGTCCTTGCCACGAGGGTCTAGTTCCAAAGGAAGTTTCATACAACAGCGCTCATGCCTGCCTCACCACTGCATGCCTAGCACCTGACATAGAAGCTCGATGATATTTGGTTGACCGAATGAATGGATAAATATGGCCAGTTAGGGTTAGGGTGGAAATAGCCTAGGACATAGAGTAGAGAGGCAGGCAGGAGGCCCTGGTTCTGGTCCTGGAGAAGCCTGGATGGGGGAGCCAGTGAGAGAGGCTTGGCCACTGCTAGGGAGAGGGGAGCAAGCATCATGGCTACAGAAGCCTGGGCAGAGGCGACAGCAGGACTGCTGGACAGGGCCAAAGGCCGCGTGGCACCTTATTCTTGAAGAAGCGCTGGATGGTGGAGCTGAGGGCACAGCCGACGAAGCCCTGGGAAGCAGCTGGGTTGTGCAGGAAGCGGATCTCCAGGGGGATGAGCCCGTCCTGTAACTGCAGGGTCTGCACGATCTCATGGCGCTGCCAGTCCCATACATATAAGTGACTCCCATACAGTCCTGGGTGGGAACGGGGCCCGAGGATGAGCTCAAGATCAGACCTGAAGGGCATGGAGAAGGGCTGGGGCCCCACCCCGGGCAGAAGGGTGAATATGGTTGGTGGGATCAGAAGGAAACCGGAGCAACGAGAGCACTCAGCACATTGTATACCTTCCCTCACGAGTCTGGGGCCCACGTGAGGGAAGGGAGAGGCTGGGGAGTGGGCTTTGGGAGCAGAAAGACGGTGTGTGCCCATGCTCCTGCTGACCCATGGGAGAATTCTCACCAGCCTCTACATCAGCAGGGTTGAAGCCGTTTTGAAAAACTTTGGGAGCTGCCCATGCAGTGCTGATCATGACATTGTGTCGAGGCTGGTACCAGAAGTCATAGCCCAGAGGTGCAGCACCCCCAGGTCGCTCCCATGTCCCCTTCACGTCGAAGGTCTCTCCATCCAGCAGCACGAAACCCCCTGAGCAGGGAAGCAAGTAGGGTGGCAGTAGGGGCAGTGGAGAGACCACGCCCCCCAACCCTCCCCCAGGCCTGTCCAATAGGCACCAAGTCCGTTTCCTGCTACCCTCTCCTCCCCCTGGGTTTGCAGCTCCTTAAATTCAGGTGTCCAAAAGGTCAGGTGGGAGGTGGGGACTTGCTCTGTGCCCCAACACACATTAGCTTCATCCCTCTCCCAGACCACAGGGGAGATTTTCTCCCACTGAGCCGAGAGATCTTCCGGGACTCGGCACCTGGCGCTTCCCTCACCCAGCCTCCCACTTTCGCTGTGGGATTCCTGCCTGAGTCTAAGTTCCATTCTGCTCACTTCATTTTTTTATACAGCAGACAGATTATATTTATTTGTAGTTCAACATGAATACTCAGTGTGTTCCCCCTTCTCTGTGTGCCATGACACACTGACACTTGCTTACAAAATAACTCAAGTCTATTCCTAGTGTCACTAAATCTGGGAATGTCCTGGCTTTTTCATCTCCTAGAAAAAGCAGTTAAATGGAATCTAGCGCAGTTAAATGAACAGGACGACCTCAGCTGACATCTCACTCCAAGCCCTTGGGCGGTGGCTCCGATGAGATAGATAAGGCTTGGAGAGGAGCGGCCCAGCGTGGCGCTAGGCTTGGGGTCTGGGGCCTGATTGCTGGGCTTGAGTTCCAGTTCTGCGACTCACTGGCTGTATGATTTAGGGAAGTTACTTAACCAGCCTGGCCCACTTTCCAATCTGTTAAACAAAGATCATAGATAGCAGCACGCATCTCCTAGGTCGTGTCTGTCACAAATGATGTTATAAAACACAGATGTTTTATAAGTGTCAGCTCTGTCACCGTATGTGGAGATTAAGGATCCCAAGAACTGTGAGATTTGCTCATAAATTCACTAAGGCTGGATAGTAAATGTATGGGTTTTCCGGGGGCATATCTGTGTTCCTATGTTCCATAGCAGATCGTTCTAACAATAACTTTTAAGTGAGTTCATTAGCCAAGGCTCATTTTCATAGAAAAAAAATGGAGAGTACTGAAGTTACTTGACTATAGTTTTAACATTGGATGAGACCAATCCCCCCATTTTCCCTGGAAGCTCAGTCCATCCCTTCCCATCTTGTGACCTCCTGCCCCGACAGATGCGTCTGCAGTGCCAGCAGATACCTTTGCCGTTGCCCTCAGGGTCTCCCAGGGTGCTGATCATCACCTCCCCGCTGGGCAGGCAGTGGCTCGTGTGGACGTAACCCAGGTCACATTTGGCATGGATGTCCTTGGGCTCAATGACCTGGAGGGGGTAAGGAATGGCATTAGAATTTTATAGTGCTGCAAGTCCCCACTCCCTTCTCCTTCACTCCCCTACTTCTATCTGCTGACCCAGGCCCCTTCCCTCCAGCACATGACACCATTTTCCCTGTGGGGATATGACAGAGATTCAGTCTGGTCACTTCTGCAAAGCAGAAGAGAGAGTCAGAGAGACTGCTAACTCCCCAGGCAGAAAGCATGGACTCCTCTCCCATCTTGAAGCACTCACAGCCCTGTGGGACTGTAAGCTCCGTCTGAGCTGGGCTGATGCCAGTGTCAGCTTTGTGTCACGAGCAGCCTGCAGTGAGTGCCAGCTGAAGAGGAAGCTCAACAAAGCGTTGAGAGGAAGGAGTGGAGGCTCCTGCCTAAGGAAAGCCATGGGCCCCCGACTGGATGGGAAAACGGCGCCTCCCCACTCAGGTGGAAAAAGAAGAAGCCACCCCACTGCCCTCCAGTTGCCTGCCCCCCGGTGCTGGATGGTGACTGCTGATAACTCTCCTCTGAGTCTAACCCTCTTTCTGCTGCTGAGCCGAGACCCTGCGCAAGAGCTGGAGGCAGCTGGTTTAGGCAACAGGCTGCCCAGGGTTGGGGTCCTGAGCGGCAGGAGCAGAGAACATGCCTTGTGCAGCTTCGGAGCGCGGGGCTCGGTGCCCACATCCACCACATAGATGCGGGAAGAGATGAGACAAGGCAGCACCAGCTTGGTGCGGGACTTGGTGCTGTCCCCAAAGCAGCTGCTGCACGTGTTCCATCCTGAGTGATGCAGCTCATCCTTCAGGTGGGGCATGGGCAGCCGGTGGATGACCTAGGATGGGAATGGGGTTGGGGGTGACGCTCAGCCACACCACTCCTCCGTTCGCTTTGGGCATAGACACCCACCGGACCCACCGTGGCTTGCAGCGCAGTGCAGGCTGGATTCCCACACCCGCTTGCACGTCTGGGTGCCCTTGTGCAGTGAACAGCCTGCACCACCATATCCAGGGAGGGCGAAGAAGCATGCGCCTGGGCAAGGGCACCCTCAGGCCAGGGCTAGAGCAGGGACCACGTGGTGCTCTGCTGTCCACGCCCCACCTGAATTGCTCAGTACCTGGCAATACTGAGGAGACTTGGGGTCAACGTCCACTGTTGCCAAGTAATCCGGGGCCTCAATGCCCGTGTTTCGGTAAATGCAGGGCAGGTATAAAATCTCCTCCCTGGGCCCTGGAGGTAAAAAGGAGGCGGTGCGGATGGCGGGCTGGAGAGGATTGGCAGAGGCAGCGTTGCATGTGCCTGAAGGTGGAAGCCAGGGGCGGGGTCCCCCGCCCCCCCCCCCCCCCCCCCCGGCAGCAGTGGCCTCAGCAGCGGGCACTGTTCCTTCCCAAGGTGCTGAGTCTCCAGTACCGCCCACTTACCTTTCATGGCCTCTAGAGGGGTAGAGTACCCGGGTCCACACTTTTCACATTTGGTAGCTGCAGAAACAACACGAACTGTTGGCTGGACCACAGCCTGGAGGGTGAAGGTTGCTTCCCTACCTGCTGCAGTGCACCCGCTACCGCAGCCCAGGCAGATGAGCTGTCCCACGCCCCATCCTAACTCCAGTCCATCTCTCCAGTCATCCTCCAGCACCCCAAAGCCCTGATGCTGTTGGGTGGGACCAAAAGTGCTGTAGACATATGACCTGAAGGTGAACACTCAGCAGTAACCAACGGAGAGCAGGAGAAGGACCAGTGCAGGGGAGGCTGGATGGTACAGTGTTTATGACACTGACTTGGGTCTCCTTTCCAGCTGGTCGCTCAGGAACCGAGAGTAGTTAAGCACGTTAATTAATCTCCCCAGTGTTCACTTTAAGAAGAAATAACCAAGAAGGTGCAAGTGGGTTGTGTAGCTCTGTGCTTCCTGGCTCGAGCCAGGAAAACTGGCTGTTTTCAAGAACAACCATCAGGGTGGAAGGCGGTGCAGTTCACTTCCTTCACCATCAGGTGTCTATTCCAGGGTCTGGGACACTTCATGCTCTTCTCCCCTTTGGGCCCTGGTCCAAGGCTTCTGGCCAGAGCTTCGATTATACAACTGAGGGTCTGGTAAGACTTAGGAGGCTGAAGTTTAAGGCTACAAGGCTGATAGGACCTTAGAACAGTTTTTCCCTGGGTGGGCCCTACTTCCTTTATATACAAAATGGGGTGTTTGGCCACTCAGGAGAGCTCAGAGGCCCATTTGCCAGAGCTGTTGGGAGTGGCTCATGTCCCTGGAAGCCTGGCAAGAGAAGCCACGCTGATCTACGGGGAGCAAGTCAGTTGCTGAGGAGGAGGGCTGCCAGGACCTCAGGCAGCAGGCAGCAGGGCTTGGGGCCAGACGGGAAGGAAGGGCTGAGAATAACACAGAGGGAGCTGCAGGCTGAAGGAAATCCCGGAGTGGAGCTCTCAGCACGGGACACTCCTCCAGCCCTGTCCCAGGGCAGGTCTGGCCAGTATCCTGACACGTGGGGAGCCAAGAGTAGCCGCTGGGGTGGAGCCTGCACTGCTGCCTGGGCCCAGACCGTCAGTGGAGGCGGCAGCTGGGGGTCAGGTCCCACTACTCGCAGCTGCCAAGGTCTTAGGAGGCTGAGAGGCAGCAGCGGCGTTTACGAGTCCAGGAACCTGGTTTCAAGCTCCAGGTCTGATACCTACTCTCTCTGCGTTCTCCCATTCATTTGCTAGAATTGGGCAATAGTATCCCACCTCTAGGTAGCTACATAGGTCAAATAAGACAAGTGTGCAGGAGGACTTTTGAAAAGGATAAATAGGGATAGGGCTGTACCAAAGGGGGTGTCCTAGGCAGTACTTGGTGCCCTGAGCAGAGGGGTTGGGGGTGGGAGGTAGAGGCAGGGTGAGAGAGAGGTCCAGTCCAAAGGATTTAGGAGAGTTGTTCTGCTACACAGCCAAGCTGTCAGGGCTTGGCAGGGGAGACAAGGGGGCAGGGAAGGGAGGTTGGGACACAGAGAGGGGAGGCAACTCAGGGCTGCAGACATGAAGACAGAGATACAGACACTGTCAAGCCAAACAGAGACAGAGAGGTGAAGGTGTCAGGAGGTGAGGCTGCCTGCATCATCTCCCCGCTCCCCCTCTGCACATCACTCCTCTTTCTGGGAAGCACCCCCTCTCTTAAGTATCTCAAGCTGGATCCCTGAACATCTTTGGGTTGAGAAGAACCCGGGGAAGCTCATTCAGCTTTCCTAGGGCCAAGCTGGCTGCTGGGCATCCTGCCAGCTGAGGAAAGAGCCAGATTTAAGGGCACAAGGACCTCAACACTTCCAACCAGGCCCAGACTCCACTTAAGCCTGACATCCATTCCCTCGGATGGGGAAATAGAAGGATTTCGGGGATTGAGAAAGTGAAGTGAGGGTCAAAAGGACCCAGTGAGAGAGTGTGTGCTTCCCTGTCCCCCAAGAGGGAGAGCCACACTTTGCATTGAAAGTCTGGGTTCCCGACTCCTTGCAACAAAAAGGTGGCCCAGGGCTGAAATCAGGGTTCTCTCTTAAGGTGACTGCCAGGGACATGGATGTTCCAATCCTAAGCGCCCAGTGCCTGATTGTCTCTGCAGCAGAAAGGCACCCTGACCCGAGGCCTCAGCTGTGGAGCCCAGGGTCACCCTTCCCAGCACCCTTCCCAGCTGGTAAATGCGGGGGTGGAGTGGGGGTGGGGACAGAGGGGCAGAGTCCAGTCCTGTATGCTGTTACCAGCAACCCTCACCCAGGTTTTCTGCCACTTCTTGTAGGGAGGTCCAGGGGCGGGCAGTGCTGATTTGTGGTGTTTGGAAGGCCCCCTCCTTACCCATGCTGTTGGCTGGTGCGTTTTGCTCCTCTGGGTCTGCCAAGAGAGGATGGAGAAGGGAAGCAGAGCTGGTGCGGAGGCAGGAAGTGCCTGAGAGGCTGTGCTAGGGCAGGAATAAAAGGAAGGAATTTTATGTGACCAAGGGGTTTGGGCGGAGCAGGGGGAGGGCCAGGGCTTCAGCTCAGAGTGAATGACTAAGGGCAGCTGGCCAGGAGACTCTCACATGGCCAGGGCAGCTGGTGTTTGAGTTATGGGGTGTGTGTGTGAGCGCGTCTGTGCCTGTGCATACACAGCTCCGTGCTGAGCCTGCGCTTGCATCTCTCTCATGGGGGCCTGGGTGGGTATGAGTTCGTGCCTGTGCATGTGCTCGCGCCTGTGCACCTCCATGATGCCCGTGTTGGTGCTTCTACGAATGTGGTTGCATGAGTGTGTACCTGTGTCTATGTGTGAATACGTGCCTGTGTGTGACAACGTGTGCTTCTGTATGTATAAGTAGGCCTGTGGGAGTGTATCAGTGTGTCTCCAATTGTGTGTGTTCTGTGCGCTTACGTGACAGGTGCCTGCCAGAATATTTAGCCTGTGAGGGCATGTACGTACATGCCCTTGTAGATGGTATGCCTGTGTAAGCGTGTGCATGTCCTGCACTCGTTCCCGGGCCTCCAAATGCTCATGTCTGTCCTCAGACCTGTTTCTTGGCATTTAGGGGAACCCAGGGCCGTGGGCACGCTGGCTCCTCCTTGCACAGCCAGGTCAGGTCTCCCCTGAGATTATCCTCTTATTCCAGACACCTGTGCTCCAGCAGGCTCAGCCCTACCCTCCAAAGCCTGCACAAACCCATGTCTTCCTGCCGCAGCTGCCCGACAGGAAGCACGACAGGATAGAGTGTTCAGGTTCCACTTCCCCCAACCCATTCATTCCCCTTGAGTTTTGAAGTGAGGGAAACTCCTCAGTGCCCATTATCACCCTCCTAAACCTCAGGGGGTGGAAGTGGAGCGCCTCCCTGTCCTGTTCCGCCTGGTTCCTCAACAGCTCCCTAGGGTCAGGTAGCAGGGCCCAAGGGCAGCCCACCACGATGCCACCGTCCCTAGCTGACCTATGACAAGTCGCAAGACTCAGGGTCTTCATCTATGGAGGCGGGGGTCCTCCAGCTGGAGGATTCAGGAATGCCAGGGTGCTGAGCCTGCTACTATAGCGTCTCAGGGGCATGTCATGGTCCCCAGGCAAATGGCAAATGCTTGCTGAAGAACCAAAGCAAGACCGAGGCCTCTTCTGTTAGCTCTCTCTGGGGCTGCCCTCCTCTGGAGTCACCGGGTTTGAGTGGCTGCTCAAGGAACTCCCCCAAACTGGCCTCCATCCTAAAGCCAAGGCTCCCTCTTCCGTCCAAGGTGCCTGCCTGACAGGGTAACCCCGGCCCCACTCTTCCTGCGACCTGATCACAACATGTCTACAAGAGCCATTTGCAGCTCACTGGATGAAAGCTCTGGGCTGAAGTTTTATTGCGCAGTGAAAGGAACTGTACTTGGGCCCGTGATCGCCAACAGAAAGAGCCATGGGGTTTCCAAATCAGAGTAGAGGGGAGAGCAAAACTGGTCCTCAGTGTGCAGGGTGTCTGTCCTCCTGGTCCCCATGGTGAGGAGGGGTCATGAGACCACAATGGAAGGTGCCTTGTGGCTGCCAGGGCAGGGGCCCCCTCTCATCCCCAACATCACTCACCCCCTTGACCCTCTCCTACGTGTGCATCCTCGCCATTGCACCGGGCGGTCAGCCAGGCTCTGCCAGGTCAGCCTGGGGCGCAGCTGCCCTGCAGAGGGCAGTCCCTGAGGGCTGCCGCTTCCCCCTCCCCTCTTCCAGTGCCTGGGCTGCCTCCCCTCTCCCTGCCTTCACCCTGCCCTCCCGTTCGCCTCCTCCTGAGGGCTCCATCCCCTACCTCCTCTCCACCCTCCTGCCTTTTTCCTCCAGCCCAACAGGTCAGATCTGAGAGAGAAAGAAACCGCATCGCCAGCCTCTTCTCAAAAGAGCTGACAGTTTTAACTCCAAAAAAGCAGTTCTTTTGCTTATTCTAGAGTCTGTCTCTGGCTGCAAGTTCTTTCATGCACCGTGCCCCCACCTGGCTGCTCTCTGTGGCTCCTCCAAGGCACCCCTCGCCTCAGGATTTCTACACAGATTCCCCTGCCTCCAGAGCTCACAGTTCCCCAGTCTCTCTAGGCTCTTTCCTGTTTGTTTCATTTTGTTCCTTTTGGTGGAGAGGAGAGTGGGGAGGCCAAATCCAGAAGGACCCTGCCTCCAGGTGGGGTGTTTGGTGTTTGTTTCCGGAACTCTCCGGACAGAGAGGCTCTTTCTCTGAAATGGGGACACAGGGGGTGAGGGGGTGGAGAACACATGTCTCCTGACTGAGCAGTGAAGTCTTCATGGAGGAGGTGTTAGGAGCAGCAGAGGCGCCCTGTGAGGTGGGAAAGACTGAAGGACACACATCCAAGTGAGAACCGTGGTTATTTGAGGAGGGATCGAAAATCCATTTTTACTTCAGCCCTGACGGTGAGGCCCAGTTCATTGGGTGTCATCCTACAAAGTGAAATGTCGCTGGTACGATGTCTCCGGTCAGGCACATGCTGTGGTTGTGGGCTTGGTCCCCATCAGGTTGTCTAGGCAACAGATAAATACCCTCTCTCTAAAAATAAAAAAATTAAAAAAAGAGAAAATCCATTTTTAATTGATATACTTCTGTGTTTTTTAACTAATAAGCATGTGTTACCTTTGTAACCAAAACCCCAAAGGGTTTTAAAGTATATTTTTTAAAATACATATATATTTTAAAAGTATGTATCTATAAGAAATATTTTTCTATGTACATAATAGATATGTAGAGAAAGGAAAGGGGATGGAAGATCACGCATGGCAGGTGAGGGCCGCAGCGGGAGCCCGTGGGGCGACTGGCCCCGCTCCCTTCCTCCCCGCGGATGCCCCTCCCACCTGCCTGGCCTGTCTCTTGGAAGATGCGCATGTGCGTGGTCGTTTGTTCATTCGTGCCCTCAGTCTGGCACTCCATACACATTTCTGGAGCACCTCTTTTGATAGAGGAAGTGGCAAACAAGGCAAAGTTTCCGCCTTCGGAGAGGGGATGTTCTTAAACAGCAAAACAAGAAAATTAGATATTCTGAATGGCTTTATTGAGCGAGTCATGAATCAGGTAGCATCCCATCTAGCAAGTAGAGAGGAGATCCAAAGGGCCACAGAAATAAAACGGTTTTAAGAGGCAAGAGGAGGAAGTTATAAAGAAAAAGATTACTTTGGGTTTAGAAACCCACCTATGGGGATAAAAGGGACCTGTGAGACTGCTTGTCTCGCCTTCCTTTAGGGTCTGACCGGAAAACTGCACACTGACCAGTTAAGACTAAAATCCTAGGGAAGGCTGTAGCTGCAGCTACATTAGGTATTAAGTCTTGGTTTGCTTAGGACAAATGACTCCCTTTGGGACATTTTGTTCCTTTCAAACAATTTCCCCCCTTTTGGTCAGACTCCAGGTTGAACTAGAGACCTGATCCAATTTAAGTCATTAACACCACTCTCAGCGACCACTTTCTAGTTCTCACAGCTCTTGTCGGTCTTTTGTGTAGAGCCCGTAGGTCATGGCATTTTTGTTTAATCCCTGGGATAGCTACAGGTCACAGCTCAGCTTCACAATGTTTAAGTCAGTTGGTCATTATCGTCCATTTTCTAATGTTCCAGTCTTAGAGAGATCATTTGCTAGGTGGTTAGCCCTGTGGATATTTAAAAGCTTTTGAGAGAATACAATGCACCAGGGAGACCGTTATGATTACCATACACAGGATAAGTCCCAATGGTTGGTGTGCATTCCAAAACCATGGTCCCTAATTCCCAAACCAACCAAAAGTAAACAAGCCAAAGAAAGACCCTGCTGAAGAAGTCAATTTCTTGGGTAAATTTGCTTGACCAGGCATTTCATGTAACTGAGTTTCAACTACCCAGAAGTTGTAATTCAGGCACAGCAGGTGGTGGTAGCTACAGCGGAGTCACCTCCTTGCTCAGCTAAAAGGTAATCAAGGGTCATTGTATTTATTGAGAATAATGTTGACCAGTGAAAGCTCTCATCTTAGCTAAGAAATCTGCACTATCTTCAAGAGTTAAGGAGAGGTTTCTGGTCATACTCTCGTTTATATTTACTTCTAACCAGGCAAGTATGGCCCTGCCAAAGGAAGCGAATCCTGAGTCATGAATGGCCCCTGATAGGTCCTTTCTAACCTAATGATATCAGTCAGAGGATCTAAGCAATGAGGTGTCTTAGTTTGCTTGTGGAAAGTTAGGGGCACTGTTAGATAACCTGAGGGGCATTGCCTGGTTATGTGCCAGCATCTAGGTATCTGTTATGCAAAGAGCTGAGGGCAGAAAAAACTTCAGCACATTGCTCACTGATTCCAAAGAAACAACCAGAGGGCCCAGCCAGAGTGGCTCACTGGGCCCCAGCTAGTGTGGCTCACTTGGTTGGAGCATTGTCTCTTACACAAAATGTTTGGAGTTGGATTGCCAGTCAGGACTCGTACCTAGTTTGTGGGTTTGATCCCTGGCTGGGGCTCCTATGGAAGCCAACCATTTGATGTTTCTCTCTCACATAGATGATTCTCTCTTTCTCTCTCTCTCTCTTTCTGCCCCCACTTCCCTTCTCTCAAATCAATAAACTTATTTTTTAAAATTAAAAGAAAAAGAAGTAACCTGGTTGGCTGGCTGTGAAAGACATGGGTTTCGGAAGATTTTCATGTGCACCAGGGGCTGCCAGCCAGTGAAGTTTTCCACAGCACAGGCTTCCCTAGTACAGGGTTCTTTAGAGTACAGAAAACAAGGCAAACGGGACATGCGGGAGGTGAGGGGTCATGCTCACTCACAAGCTGCTGTCCGATCAAAATGCTAGCTATTTCTCTGCAGTTGTTTATAATCTGGGTTCACATCTAGCAGCAGTTTCTGTTTGGCCCTTTCTTGACCGAGGAGCTGGCCAGGCTCCCAAGGTCCGTCCCACATCCTCTTACAGATGGCCTTCGCCATATTCCCACAGGGGGCAGAGGGAGTTAGAGCTTGGGAAAGGGCCCATGTTCTCACATACCACAGAGCAT